GGGGGGCGTGGGGGCATTAAAGTGAACCGTTGTTTTGCCGTGCATGGAAAAAGCACAGGCTTGCTTTGAAACCAGGATAGAAAAGTAAAATGATTTTGTTAATTCAGCGTGCATTCATCCACAGTATCAGGAAACATCAGAACACAGCTAAAGGTAAAACACTCCGATATCGCCTTGCGAATCTTTTCTGCTCAGACACTGATACTCCTTCTTTGTCCTTTTGACCGCAATGACCCCAAAGGAAAAATGGAAAATAGAACAGCTTTTATTACGTGTTTGGCAGGCGCACCAGCCACCCAATCCAGTGCCAACAGATCACATGACTGGGGTACAATTACAGAGGAGACTCACTTGTTCGGATCGGCTCCTTTGAAATAAGCGTTGACCGTCTCCGTAAAGGCGGCTGCCACGGGCAGGGTGTCCTGGGCCCCCATGGTCAGGGGGCTGGGTCCTCGGGAAGATCCTGCAAGACAAGGAGCAGCTGCTATATTTTGTTATGGGCGCAAGATTCTTGAATTAAAACCAAGACACACAAAACACTCGCAAGCACTAGGACACATCTACACTTAACTGAACAAGACACAACCACAAAACCCTAAAGAAGAACTCCGGTTTAGCCATGAGGGGGACCTGTCAGCTTTGGGGAGCTGCCGATGCAGACTTGTTTTTAAAGGTGCATGTGCCCTGGCTGTCCTGATCTGATCTTCACTACCTAGTGAGTCTCTGACCTGGAGCAAGTATGCAACACCTTAAGGGCTTTACTGGACCCATGCTTGTTATAGGTCAGTGACTCACAAGGCAGTGAGGTAAGGATCAGAACAACCCAAGATACTGCAACTGTAAAATGAAGTCAGAAATGGCAGTTCACTTTAAATAATACCAATTAACACATTTGTCTTTCTTGTTATGAGAAAGGATCTATTATACAGGATGATTATATGAAAGCTTGCATTGCATTTTGGGAGTATTTTTAGTCCCAGCTCAGACCTACGCAGGTGTGACATGCTGGAGGTAGAAGCGATCACACAAAGGGGTAACAATTCACATTTTGCCCTGTTTCCAGACAGAATCCATAGGGACAGTGTAAACCGGTGGAGTTTATATTTCCTTATAATGACAGTGGCGTTATACCACGTGGCCATTGTAACCAGAAAACATAGCGGAGTTCTTCTTTAATGGGGAATATCTCTGGACACTGGTGCGTCTGTAATAGGTGTTGTACCCCATAGCCACCAATCAGATCCGGCCTTAATTTCTAGCTTCTGAATGGTTGCAAAAACTGGTCATTTTACTCCAGCCAGCTGCCCCAGTCTTCCTGACGCATCCTATAAATCCCAATACCGTGTGCTTAACATGTGTATAGAAGCCTGCATAGTGATCGCATTCAGCATTGATTGCCCTTGTGGCCCACAGCACATTGTACTCCAACGGACAACTACAATGTGCAGCCAATCAGACTGCACTGCAGGCAGATCAGAGACTGATGAGTTCTGATTGGTTGCATTGGTCTCCTGCACATTGTGCTTAGTAATAAAAAGGAAAGAAAGAAAACAAAAGAAACTAAAAAAACCACATGATATGATCAGTTAATATGTAAAAGATGGGAAAGATTTTGAGACAATATTGCATGACAGTTTTTCCATCGTGCTTCATCTGTGATATGGGCATTCGGCAGACGATTCGGTAGCATTTCAATACGCAAATTTAAGTGCAACTTAAATTTTGCAGAGGGTTGTGTTGCGCCGTCATGATTTTTGAATGACACCCCAACGCACATGTACAGCGTGCACCAATGCACCCTTGTTAAAGCACACCACAGTGCACGGATCAGAATGCTGTACATAGTGGTATGCTGTGTTAAAAAAATTGGCGAAGGTGCGTTTTTTCGTCCATTGCTTGCAGAGTGTTGAAAATTGAATAGGCTGCCCTAAAAGTACATCCAAAGCCAAAAGGTTTCTTCTTTATCATTTTGGATAGAGTAAGGAATGGCTAAAGCCCTCCATTTTTTCCCACCATTTCCCTCCTCTCCTGTAGGAAGGGAGAGCCGATTTAGTGAGGGAAATCCCCAGACAGTTGTCACCAGAACGAGTGTTCCCCCCATTGGAAGATCTCCCTTCTATTCCTGTTCTAGTGACAAGTCAAAATTCTGATGGTCACCAGGACAAATGAGTGTGAATATTCCCAATGTTAACACAGGCAGCCAAAAAACAGAGGTTCTAACCTCTCCCCATGCTATCCAAAAGTAAAAAAAAAAAGTTCTGAGTTTAGATACACTTTAAGGCAATGCACATCTAAACATCTGACCTCTCAAATGCTCTTTTAGCTGCATGGGCATAAATTCCCACATGCACACTCCAAACTCTTGTGGAACCCCCCCCCCCCCCAAGAAGAGGG